AAAAAATAATAATAATAAGCATGTACGATGTATATTAAATTATTATTTAAAAGGGGCTTTTCTTCAACTATTGCTATGGAAATTATGAATTAATATTAAGTGTCTAGTTAAAGAACTTGCCTCCTTTTGCTGAAAAATGGTGTACCTAAGCTAAACAGAAAATATTTCTTTTAGGGAAAAAGAAAAAAATAGAAGTTCTCTTGTATCAGATACATACAAACAATTCCAGTTCCAAAGAATTGGAAATGGAATAATTTGATGAGAAAATTTTGGTAACAAAAGCCCAGAAGAGAAAAACACTGCAAAAACAATTATCAGGACCTCAGTCAAGTAAACTCATACGCTCTCTTGGCAGAATCAAGAGTGTTGGATAAAAGCATGGCAATTGTCATGGGTCCAACTCCTCCAGGCACAGGGGTAACAGCTGATGCAACCCTGACTGCTTCTTCAAAGCAAACATCTCCCACAAGACGGTAACCTAACTCAGCAGTTGGGTCCTGGCCATGTATACCATGGATTTAATGTAGACTAGAAAGATGATTTTCCTTTTAAAAGGCAAATAATAAACATCTAACAATTGCAACCATTGTTCAATTAAAATGAAATCTTAGACATTGTAACTTATGTTTTCTTCTTCAAATTTATCTGTAATGAAAAATACCAGGTAAGATAGTGAGAAATTTGACTTATTAAAAACGCTTAAACATGTTAAATTTACCTCAACAGGACATGTTCCAACATCTACGACGACTGCCCCAGGCTTTAGCCAATATCCACGAACCAGATTAGGGACCCCTGCAGCTGTGACTACTATGTCAGCTTCGCTGGTCAGTTGTTCAGGGTTCTTTGTTAAGGCATGTACTATGCTGACAGTCGCATGGTGCCTCTGCCCAACAATGTCACCAAAACTGTAACTAATGAGTCAAGTAACATGTTTGAAGTAGTAAATTTGAAACAACTTGATTTTTACAAAGAGCTTTTATTGAAAAAAAAAAAATCAATCTATAAGAATGAAATATTCAATTAAGAGAGTTCACTGATATAAGTAACTAATCTCAACAAGCCAATTTTAGGATTTTAAAGATAAATACTCCTTTCTTAATTTAGAAATTTATAAGAGAAACTCTGTATCATATAAATAATGTCTTTCAATACTAAAAAAATGAATATAAATGATGAGCTATTCCTTTTATAAAACTCATGTGACATTCAAGAATTGTGAAAATTAATATATATACAAAATTGTTAAAATGGTAAACCTATGAAGTCCATGGAGATATACATCCACTTTTGAAAAATCTACATGTCAAAAATCTTGAAAACATATGATCAGGGATCATTTTTCTGTAGGTTACTGACATATCCATATGAATTTTTTCCATTTTGTCTCTTTTATTTACTCATAAAATAGACTTTTCTAAATCATAGATCTCATTACCTGCAACAACAATGATGTAGGCAACCCTACAATGTTGCTTCTCCCAATGACCACTGCCTTCTTTCCCGTTATTGTCACACCAGACCTGATCAACAACTCAATACAGCCTTTTGGAGTGCAGGAAATGAACAGTGGTTCCCTTCCTCTCATGGCAAGATTGCCCATGCTTTCTGGATGAAAGCCATCAACATCTTTTTCCAGGCTCACCACATTCAAAATCTTCTCCTCATCCAAGTGCTGTACCATACATTTTTTATGAGTCATCATTCATAGAACAGCAACTTACTTCTGAAATACTCCATTAAGCTCACTACACACCACAAAGTGATTATTGCTCTAGTAGATCTTCTGAAACAAAATTAAATCATTAGGCTACTGAGGACAACCTTTTACCAGACCAAATCCCTTTAATCATTTGGTTATTAAGGATAACATTTTACCATCCTAAATCCCTTTTAGTTACTAGAGACAATTCACTCCTAAGAATAGCCATATATTCTCATGGAACAAATAATAATCTTGACCTATTAAGAAAATAACGGGTTATTAAAAGCCAATTAGCATAAATATTAGAATGCACTAGCACAATTGCATATAAGATGTATTAAATATCAAAAGCCTAAAGTTCCATGGTCCTCAAAAGTTAAATTTTTCTAGCCTCTATCTTTATGTAAATTTAGGTAGCTGAGATTACGCTTGAGTTTTAGTAAATTCATGTTTACTCTTTCACCAGCAAAGCAAATGCAAGAATTGCAAAATTACCTCAGGTAAAGGAAGCTGCACCAGTACACCATTAACTGATGGATCCTCATTAAAATGTGACAGAGCATTAATCACTTCATCCTCTTTACAATCATCAGGCAACTCAACAAGGGAAGAATTTATTCCAGTTTCTTCACAAGCTTTCATCTTGTTGCGGACGTAAGTCTCTGAGTCCCTTCTCTGGCCAACCAAAATTACAGCCAAACCAGGAACCCTCCCTGTATATTCCTTCATCCTCCTCACTTCACTAGCTATTCCTAACCTGATTTCCTCTGCAATTGACTTCCCATCAATTATTGCAGCAGTCCGTGGACCACCTGCAGTAAACATCAAAAAGGAATGATCAATCATACCAGTTCTTTGGGCAACAGCCAGACTGGTCTTTCTTCCTCTTCTTCTTCTTTTTTTTTTTTGGGAGGGGGGTGGCTGGTTCATTAAATCAAAAGAAGCAGGACAACCCGCATGGATTTGTTGTTTCAAATTACAGGAGTTAAAAGCAAACAAGCAAGAAAGCCAAACCCAACAAATGAGAAATGACGTTGATAAAATATCTACCCTGGAAGCTCTTAACGGCCATCAAAAAGCTTCTATTCAACTTTTAACAGACAATTGGCATAACCAAATCTTATATTGGAAGGTCTACCAACTGCATAGTATAGATGACGAACCAAGCAAATACAAGCTAAATAATTGCAAGGGGCAGTTATCAGAAATTACAGCCATGAAGTTAGATGCAACAGTTTCTTACATATTTCATGGCCAGATGGAGGATTATCATGGTCAGAGCTGGATCCCCAGATCTCAGGAAAGTCCAGAGAGACAAGAGGTGGAGACACTAAAATTTGGGAGCTCTGCTTGTCCTTACCTGTGGCCCTTGTCACTATTGATGACATACACCTTTTAAACTCCTTCCTCCATGCTACCACCATCTTCTGCGTTAAGCTTGTCACTGTTGTCCTCATCATGTCCCTATGGCCTGAAGTATCTTCTCAGGATCTAAATCATTCTTGAATCTTGATTTGTTTTCTTCTCTCTCCCAGCCTAAGCTTTTCAAGACCAAGATTGACACTTAAGCCTTATGCCAACCAAAGGTGAAAAACATGATTTTATACTATATACACTGGCCCCGAAAAACAAACACAACATACTTATACACATAACATACATGCATACACACAAAACTCCTGCCAAGCTACTGCCAACCTTTTAGTTAAGCTCATAACCATTTCCCCATTATCTCATATACTAGATTCTTGAGAACTAGATCATTCTTCCTTTGTTTTCTTCACATTTCTCACTCCCCAATCTTCTCCAGAACAAAATCACTATTTAAGTCCCATGCCAGCCAAAAGTGAAGGAAAAAAAAAAAGAAAAAAGCCACTACATTAACCAAATTTCCGTACTTCCAGCTATCTATTCCCTCTTTTTCTTCCATTTCCTCCGTTAGATTCTCCAAATTAAGACCAAAAAAAAAAAAGGGAAATTCCAAATTTCCAATCTTTCTGTTCAGTGAGAGTAATCCAAACCACATGGGTTACAAGGCGATTAAGCGGACCTCAGCTGAGTTATTATTTGATTTCTAGTATTCAAAAACAGTTTGCAGCTAAGAGAACCATAACTTTTTGCATTGATTTTGCTTTTCGTGCATTAAAGAGAGAGAGAGAGAGAGATTCCACCACTAACAAAGCTTGAAATCAAAAGCATTAGCAACACACAGATACAGAAATACAACCAACCAATCAATAAAATTATCGCGAGGAATTTACCGGCCGAGAATTCTAATGACAATCAACAGAGGCGGAGGATAATTCCGAGATTGTTCCCGTTTCGCCGCCGTTAAAAAGCCGCCTCCCAATCTCGACACTTTATTCTTCACCTGATAAATATCAGTTATCATAATCTGAAAAGAAAAATCTGGATACAAAAATCTGGAGAGGAAAAAGAAAACCGAAAAAAGAAAAAAAAATCATATTAAAATAGAAATAATATGAGTTAGGATGAACTTCCACCTATTTTGTCACTTAATCCCAAAATTTCAACCATGTAGTTAATTTAACACTTCAAATGTTAAAATGCTTGTTGTAAGATTTTACACAATATAATTCCAATGAAATGATTAAATAAGTAAGAACTTAAGATTAAATTAAAAATTTTAAATTCAATTCTTGAGTTGAGAAGAAAAAAATTTAAGAATACTAAAGGGTTATCCCTTTATATATATAGTTTATTATCAAATGTACAAAAAAAAAAAGAGATTTTACACAATATACTCTCCTCTTATTTACAATCATATATGATATTATAGTATAAAAATTATGATGTCTTACATATAATATTATAACTTTATAATTATACTATTATTATATGATTAATTATTTTTATTTAAGTGTTTATTTATGGTATTATATATATTAATTTATTTAATCATACATCATAATTACAAATTTATAATATTATGGATCATTATAATTATAACTTCCCACATTATTGTAAATTTACAGTTTAATTATATTATTTTCATATTAAAACGTCTAACCATAATAACATTAATTAGAGTATTAGCCACTAAATTTTATTGGTTTAAAATTTTTTTCTTCACATGGTAATTTGTAACCATAAGAATGTGTTTGGTTTGAGACAAATAGGAAGGATGAATAAGTTTTTTAATTAATCGAATTATAATATTTTATTCTTTCTCTTAAATCAAAAATACCCTAAATAGATTTTTTTTTTCTCGCATTCAAAATAATTGTACTTTTGAATGAATTTAGACTTAATTATGTCTAATAGGAAGGATGAATAAGTTTTTTAATTAATCGAATTATAATATTTTATTCTTTCTCTTAAATCAAAAATACCCTAAATAGATTTTTTTTTTCTCGCATTCAAAATAATTGTACTTTTGAATGAATTTAGACTTAATTATGTCTAAATTTATTCATTCTACCTCAACAATGCATGACAAAATATTTCAATTGATTGTAAAATGAGTCTAGTGTTTTGCATATGAAGAGGCTTTCGCCAAATATTAAAGGGATGCCTTTTAATTAAATAGTTTGTATTTTATAGTTTGGTGCGTTTTAAACTATGAAACACATTTTTGTTGTAAAATTAAGGGGGAAAAAAAAGTAAAGGGAAATTGGATTATGTAAATAAGCTGCACCTAGCTATACATGAATATATTTAAAAAAAAAAAAAAACTATGTGAATAATGTGAAAAAAGCCCAAGCTGTCGTATATGTTTGGGCTCAAACACATCAGTGGGTATGGTCCAGCCCAGCGTTTCTCATCATGATTATCGACTCATGAGCACAAGGAAGAATGGTAGGCCATGGGTCCAGATACAGAAGAAAACATGTCTAGTTTACATTTTTATGGTCCGCTTACCTAATTTCTTTTTCTTAACATTTCTGTTTTCCTTGCATCCTTTTTCTATAATGAAGGCATGATTCAATCCAAGTCCCTAACTCAACCCAAAGAATACATCTATAGAATATCAGCTCCATCGGACCTGGCAAACTAGCGGGTTA